GTGCACTAATTATCCTATTTTGTTATCTGATAAGTTTATCCAAGTGCCAATTTTCAGGACCACAGTTCATCCCAAGTTTAGGGGGGCAATGCCACCCACTTCGGATACTTCAGTCTCGATTATTCTTGCTTAGTTGCACTGGTATACTCTTTCCTTTGTTCTCTTTGCACATTAAGGACATTGTGCAATTTAAGTTTGGGGGGAATGGTGCTCTACAATGTTAGTTTTGAATTCAAATTTTTAGCATGACTTGTGTATTTGAGGGATATTTCTATGATTGGTCCATATCTAGCTTTGATTTTGATCTTTTGAGGACTATATTACTTAAAATTTAAAAATTGCTTAACTTGAGAGGCCAATAATCCTTGTATGCCTTATGAATGCCATTTAGAAGTAAATTTTTCGAAAGATTGATATCTTGTTTGCACTTGTGGTCCACATCATCTTGATTTTGTGATTGTTTTGAGATTCACTCTAGTCTTCTACACTAGCACCGGCGCACACTAGCATTCATTTGTGGGATACATGCTTTGTTAATTATTGAATTGGTAATATCCCAATTGAGCTAGTAATGTATTGAAAGTTTTCATTCTTGGTAAAGGTGGATAACAACCCCTTTTCACTAAGTAGCCGGGATTCTAGCCTCATCAAGTACTGAACTTCTCGCGCCGAAAGGTGGAGGGCCCAAACTTTAGGTTAATAATTGTATTAAAAAAAAAAAGCAAAAGCAATAAAAGTGAGGACTTCTCCCAAAAAGGTGAGAAGTAGGAAATGATTAGATGGTTGTTGTCTTGATTTGTAGCCTAGTTGATTTGAGCTTGTAAGTCTGAAGGGGTGTTTGAACACCTAGTGCCCTAAAGCCGTCTGGTTTAGGCGTCATTGACCTAACACTCGACCTCATGAATCGCTAGAAAGCTTAATAGATCAACACATTGCACTATACTTCCATCTTTGATCCTCAATAAAAAATAAAAAAATAAAAAAATAAAAAAATAAAAAATAAATGAGTGAAAAGAATAAGCATACCTAGAATAATAAAGCTTTAATAAAAGGTCCACTTTTTGTCTTGATGATCGGTACTAGATTTGTATGCTAGTTTGAGGGTAAGGATGTGATTAATTCTTTAGTTGGCTTAGATAGTAACACATTTGATGCCGGTCCACTCAAAAGGATTCTAAAGTTAGTTTAATTCGCATGATCATTTTCTTGATGTGTGGAGGACCATACTTGCTTGCTTGATGTTGAAATTTTGGGAGATTGCTTAGAAAGGGTTGAAAAATTGCATACTTGAAATAGTTTTCTCCCAATGCTTGTTTGCAATATTGGTGCCTCTTTTGAAAGAATGAGCTTAATGTTTGTGGGTTCCATTTCTGAAAGCCCTCACGAGACTTCACTCGTCCACTAGGGGTAACCTAGGAGTTTAAAAAGCTTGTTGCATATACTAAATGCAATCGTATTCCCTACGAAAGTGGCGTTATCCATTTATTGTTTTCTAGATTCATACTTGTATAGTTGTTTATTTCATTCCTTTTCTTTCTAGTTCATTGCTAGGGACTAGCAATATTTAAGTTTGGGGGTGTGATGAGCACTGAAAAGTGCGTATTTAAACCCCTTAAGCTTAGGCATTCTAGTACATTTATCTATCTTACTTTACCGTTTTAGATTAATTTCGTATTATTTCCTTTTTCAGACACTTATCCCTAAAATAAGCTAACTCAGCCAAATAAGAGCTTAATTGAAGTAATTCTGGGATTAATCAAAGAAAGGAGCAAAGTGGAGAAAGAAGGAAGCAAATGAAGCCAAAGGTGGCAAGCAACAAAGTTCGATCGATTTAAGTTCAAGGTTCGATCGATCGAACAATGATCGATCTCAGCACTTCAAGATAGATCCAAGCCTTGACCCAAAAGCACAAAATTCCAAAAGTTCGATCGATCCAACACCATCCTTCGATCGATCGAACACTTTTGTCCTTATTCAAATGATTGATCCTATCCACAGCTGTACCACCCACTAACCACTTTTGTCCTTTTCCCATAAATATCTCAGATTTGTCTTTTTTCAAAAAGCTCAGCCAGTTGGATCGATCCAACCTAAGTTCAATCGATCTCACTTACTTTCGATCGATCCAAGTTCAAGGTTTGATCGATCGAACTTCCTCCAATGCGAAAAAGTTCAAATTCCATCTCATTGAAAGTTGTCATTTATCCAATCATTAGGGAATAGTGTGTCCACGACCCCAACTCATTTTGGGTGTTATTTTGACTTACCTATATAAGGATAAGGATTGCTTTTACAAGAGAGAGCCAATTTAATTTTTCATATCATCTTTTGGAGAGGAAGCTTAGAGGAGGAGGCTAGAGACACCATTGGAGACTCTTCATCAACAAGGAGCAAATTTCAACCATGGAATTAGCCCTTAAGGGTTGGAGCATCATCACCATGAGTGGCTAGACATCCTCTTGGGGCTAGAGTTAGCCCCAACCATGCTTTCTATATCTTAATCTTGTGTATTATTGAGGGATTAGTGTTGTAATTGATGTTTTGACACTTTGATATATATAGATCTTGTTTATTCAATGATTTATATGGTTTAATGCTTCCAATTGGTCATTTCATTCTATTCGTATGTCTATGTATGCTAGAATAGATGTTCATATGCTTATCTCTAGATTTTGTGTTATTGATGCATGTCTATGTGTATTGATGCTATAAATTTGGAGATTGTCAAAACATTGTGCTTAAAAGAATGCTTTTGTGATTCTCTTGATGGTTCATGCTTATCTCTTGATGGATTATGCCTTTCCCCTAGTTTATTTTCATGCTAGTAGTGTAGATGTAGTGTAGTTGTAGTGTAGTGTTAAATGGGAGGACAATCTATGCTTGTTGTTTGATGATCCAAGCTTTTGAATGCAATTAGCATATGTCTCTATCCTTGTGTTGTATTTGGATTGTGAGCTTAATGAAAGGATTAATGACTTGTTTTGATTTATTGTGCCTTTCACAAGTTGTTTAGACAATATATGCTTCATTGCTTAGATATATTGTGCCTTTCACATGATGTTTAGACAATATATGCTTAACTAGTCATCCTTGCTTGTTGAATCAACCAAATACACACACACCAATATTTCAACCCACTATTTACCCTCATTAATTACTTGTCAATGATATAGAAATGCATTACTTGGTGGTGATCTCTAAACCCCAAGATCTCTCTCTCTTTCTCTTACTTACTCTTAATTGCACTCTTTTGCTATTACTTAGTTTAATTAGTTGCTCTTTAATCAACCAACCAACCAATTGTTTGATCACTCGACCTACTAGCCCTAATTGTGATTCCACGACATTGCTCAATCCCCATAATCCCTTGGGACGATCCCTACTCACTCTTACTACTTTAGTAGTAGTGTTGGTAGTGGTTTTTATAAATTTAAACTTGACCCAAAAGGCTTTTCTTGAACCGCACATTCACTACATCAATTTTGGCGTACAAGGAATGGCCGTCATCAGAGCACTTGATCATTGCATTTCCATTATTAGCTTTCATTACTATTTTATGCTTATGTTTATCTTTCATGATTAAGCTTCACGGTGGTAGTTTTGTTGAGCTAATACGCAGATTACAGGTTAAAGATGCTAAAACTATTGAAACTTCATGTGGTTCAAGAAAAGTTTCGCTTTTATTTATTTTTGACAATCATTGTAATTTGTTTTCTTGCTTGGGTATATTACATGTTGTTTTTAGTGGCTAAAGGAGGAGATTGTAAGATATAAATTTTGTAATTGGCAAATTTTGTTGTCAAAACGAGTTCGGTCGAGTTGTAAAATTTCAATTCATAATTTTAATATCTAAGATCAGAAGCGAATTTGAAGAAGTTCAAGTATTCATACTTTGATACACTCCAGGATTATGAGAACAATACTTTAGAGATGTAAGAGCTTCTGTGAGTACACTTGCGAGGATTATACTTATGTTTTTAGGAAGACTTTACATTCTGTGCAACTTGAACTGGTTTAAGTTTCTTGAAACATGTTCAACTTTTGAGGCTGTTTAGTGGTTTTCAAGTCTAACTTGAATTGGTTCAATCACCTCGAACCGGTTCAAGTGTCAAAGTTGTTTTGTCACAAAAACTCACTGGCCAACTTCACCCGGTTCAACCACCCTAAACCGGTTCAAGGTTTTCAGATCTGTTTTAGTAACTTACCTTCTTGATATATTTTTTTATTCCTATCTTGGGTAGACTTTCTCTATACTGTGTATGCACGAAATTGACTTGGTTTCCATATATCTTTAGGTCTTCCAAACTTCTATATAATCTCTCTTTTATTCAACTAGACTTTTTGTTCCAAAAAGTCATTATTTTGAGGAAGGCCTTTTGAGATATATTTTTCAGAAAATCAAATCTGATTTTTCTATTTTTGTTTTGAGAGCACACATATATATACAAGAGTGATTTAGTAGTGTTGGTCTCTATCTCATCGAAATTGGAGCATAATTGAAGATTCAAAAATTCCGAAATACGTATCTTGTTTCCACTACATCAAATTCAGATTCTAACAAAAAGAATTTCCGATCACACTTTTAAGAGGTCAAGACACTTGTGGAGTGTTGTTGACTACCAGCAATCCTTCTATAAGGTTCGAGGAATTTTGAAGCCGAAAGCTATTGGACGAGAAGTCGCAAAGTCAGAGGTGTCACGTAGACTAGGTATTGATAGAGTGAAGGAGGGTGTAAACCTAAGTCAAAGTTCAATATACTTAGTTTCATACATTTTACGCTCGAAACACTTTACTTGTTTTACTTTTCAATATTTATCTTTGCGATTGTAAATGCTCAAGTGATGATATTTCTGAGTAAATTGATCGATCACAAAAAATTTAAGTTGACCTAATATTCTCATTAGCTTTAGCAAGTATATCCTGCTAGTGATCATGGAACTTATGTACGTGGCATGTGGAAGATGATCTCCACAACAAAATACCAAATGAGATTGAAATCATAGAGCATGGGAAGGTTTGTTGTTCATTTTCATTAAATAAGCACAAGGTCTACAAGTTCAATTTTTAGTGGTCACAAGATGAAAAGAACCTGGCAACCGGCCTCCAAAAATACAAAGCATTTAGAAGGCACTTGAAAAGCTAATCAAGTCAATTCCACACACACAACTACTAAAATATGGATCCCTTGTCTGACCATGAAACATCCTAAGCAGAAGCCAAAATCCAGGAGCTACACGGCTAAGAAGGAGGAGCTTTCAGGGTGTTCCCAATGTCAAGGACGAATCGGTATCTAACATCAGTTTTTTGAAGGCGCTCCATAGCAGTGTTCACATAGTCCATTGGAATAACCTCAACATCAGCTGTTATGTTGTGCTTCGCCGCAAATTCGAGCATTTCTTGCGTCTCTTTCAACCCCCCAATGCTACTTCCGGCCACAATCTTTCTCCCTGCATTGCAACATAAATGCAAAGTTATGCTTAACACAAGCTGCCTCTTTCTCACATTGCTAGAACAGATTAGTGATGTTGAAAACTTACCCATAAGCAAAGGGAACACCGGTAGCTCTAGTGGTTTCTCTGGTGCACCGACCAAGACCAGCGTTCCGTGTGACTTCAACAGTCCAATCAATGGTAACATAGGGTGAGTTGCAGACACAGTATCAATGATCCCATCCATTGTGCCCATAGCAGCCTATATAAAACATTCCAAAACAAAAATTGTAACATACAATAATTTCGGTAAAGTTATAGTGCCTAAAACAGAAATGAAAAAAAGCATAGATACCTTCATCTGATCCGGGTCACGGCTGACCAAAAATGCGTCAGCCCCTAGCTTTTCAATGGCTTCTTCTTTCTTGCTAGGGGATGTACTGATCACCGTCACCTTAACCCCAAAAGCCTTTGCAAACTTCACAGCTACGTGGCCGAGACCCCCTAGACCTACCACGCCCACATGTTTACCCGGCTTGTCGAGTCCAAAATATTTCAGAGGGCTATAAGTTGTAATCCCCGCGCACAGGAGGGGAGCACCAGCATCAAGAGGCAGGCTTTCAGGCCAGTTAACCACAAAGTGCTCGTCAGCAACCATGGTATCAGAGTAACCTCCATATGTGACTGTTCCATCATAGTAGATTGAATTGTAAGTGAGCAACAGTTTAGGACAGTAGTTCTCAAGATCTTTAGCGCAGTTGTCACATGAGCGGCACGATCCAACCAAACAACCCACACCAACTTTGTCCCCAACTTTGAATTTCTCTACCTTGCTACCCACCTCAGTCACTACGCCCACAACCTCATGCCTGCATCAACCAATCCCATTGACATATATATGTGAGAGTCCATATTTTTGTAATATATCCAGAAAAAATCCAAAAACTAGAAACATACAATTAATCAGCATCCAAAAGGTTAGAGAAGAGTTACATGTCAAGAATATATACATCCATAAAAAGGCTACAGGTAGCTGCAAATATTAACATCGACAGTGATTGTAGGTAGCCCGTTGTTAACTCTACAAGGATTGATTGAGAGCTTAAATGTAACATGCATCAGGATCCCTTTAAACCGAAATCAGACTCAATTAATCTCCTTAAAGGCTCTCTCTCCAAATGGAATTTTTTATGCTCATTCCACTCAGAAAACTATCAGTAAAAGTAGTCCTTAAGTAACCACATGTTTTGTGATGATTTGGTTTCCTAAGCCTTCTATTCAAGTCCTTGATCAGCAACAATAGAAAAAACTTGAGTAAAAATAACTCTACCAAAAGTTCTTCATTCTATAGTCTTAGGCTATGATATTATTTTTTGGTAAAATGTGGAATACAGATCATTATAGTATTCTAGGTACTTATAAAAAAAAAATATACATATATATACAGTACTATAGGATTGCACAATTCATCTCAACAGTAATGTAACCAACAGAAGAACCCTGTCCAAAAGACTTTAGGCATGCACATTGATATATTCAACACTACACAATCATGTGTCATCTTTAAAGTCTAAAACTGTGGAAAAAAAAAAACACTCCAAATTATCTACTTAATTAAAACGGTGTTGTGCATCAAGGTTGCATCCCTGTTTAGCAGTGTTGTATTGGAGGGCATGGTTTTTAACCGCCAGTGATACTTACGAAGTTGAAGGTAGAGGGTTCAACTTCCCACATGGGGCATGCGTGTGTGAGTTTCATGCCACCAAAAAATAAAATAAAATAAACTTGGGCCTAGTGGGCATGCCACTTTGGCCATGCTTATTGTTTGATTTCCCAATTTGGTATGTGGTGCATAGTGGTATGGCCATATTTATTGTTTTTGTTTTTACGTTAATAAAATACACTTTTGCTTTACTTTTTGTTTGTTTTCCCTCATCAAGAAATACAAACACTTCGCCATAATGAAGACTAGTACCCTTGACCTTTTATTTGGGAATGTAAGGAATACCACTACACTCTTTCACATAAGTTAATGGGAAAAAAATTTAAGTATATTTAATTATATATATATATATATAAACGACATGTAAAAGCTTTGTCATTCCTATATTTGCAATAACACTAATAGGACTAACAGATTCAAAACATATAAACACGAGATTGTGTCACTTCATTGTCAAATTGAGTACCATCAACTAAATGGCTATGAATAACAAAACTATCTCTAAGCATTTCTTAGTATGGATAAATTAATTTGGCAAAGTACACATTCTTTAACAGGAGTGCTGAACACAGTCTATGCATTCACAGTCGCGCACATCTTATTGGTTGAAAAATAAGTATTGGTTGAAAAATAATTTCTAATTAATGTCGCTTTCCTATTTTTTTTTTGGAATTATAAAACTTCAACTTTGAGACCAAATTACCCTTTTAAATTATTCTCTCTTTCTTTATTCCTAATAACTTTCCTTCTTTCCTTTGTTAGATATATTTAACTTTTTTTTTTTTTCTTTTTTTTAACAATTGTCATTCATTACTTTCTTTCTCTTTTTTGTTCACTTGTCTTATATATATATATATATATATTCCACCTTGATGGATTTTGTATTTGATTTTATGTAATTTAATTGAAATAATAATATGAGATTTGAGTCTTAATTGAGGTAATATTATAAAATTTGAGTTTTAGTTAATATATAAAATAAGAGAAGTATGGTTTCCAATCTATTCACACTATGGTTAACTACTGTGTATATATATATATATAGAAAATGAAAAAAAAAAAAGAAAAAAAAGAAAAAAAAAAAAAGCAATCAATTCACATAATTTTTTTTCCCCTCGCTTTATCTAAAGAAGAGGGAGAAACAGTGAAAAATATATATATAGAGTTAAAAACAATTGGAAAAAAAAAAAGAAAAGAAAAAATAAGATAGGTAAGTAAAGAAGAATGAAGGTTATATATATATACACACACATACAAGCAGGGAAAAGAAATAAGATATATAGAAGGATCATTTGGTCTTAAAAGTTCAAATTTAATAATTTAAAAAAAAAAATAGGAAAGAGGCATTAATTACAACTCCCATAATTGAGTTTTTTAACCAATCAGATGTGCGACTGTGTTTAGCACTCCTTCAACAGATATGTTGCATTGAGGCTCCATTTGTTTGTTTGAGAAAATATTTTTTCCAGTGTTTGGTAGTCCCAAATTCAAAGAAAATCATTTCAACTTACCAATTAATCCTCCAAAACTAATCATGTCAAACAAGTACATGAAAGAGTTACATAATGACCAAAAAGCAGCCTAGAGAGAGTTTAGCGGGCAAGAGCCATTTTACATGTGCTATAAAGATTAATAAGGCCGATACCACGAGGCTAATCTCTTCTTTGAGAATAATTATACAATTTTCTATTTTTGTTATCATTATTGATTTTGTGAGGTAGTATCTTCTAAAGTGGAGAGAGAGAGAGAGAGAGAAAAAAAAAAAGTTTCATTCAATGAAACCGATTTCCTTATCATTTTTTTTTTAATTAATTGATTATTTTTTTTATATTTGTTGTCAAAATAATTATTATCAATGACTCAAATAAGAATTTTAATTCAAAAATATTTTATTAAAAATTTTATTAAAATCTTTGCCAAACACTTGAAAATAAAAAATAAATAAAAACATTCTACATGAAAAAGTGTTACATAGAAAATATTTTAAGCTAAAACAAACAGAGCCTGAAGGCAAAAAGCGATTAATTTGTTTTATTTTCATTATGGATTTTATAAAGAACCGTTCTATATGCATATCGACATATGTAATATATACACACATACACTTCTAATTTTGAATAGAATATTTATTCTCAAATTTTTTCATGAATCTATAATGTTCATGGAGATTCACATGAGCATCTCAATCGATCAAACAGTGGTTAGGGTGCAGAATCAACTAATTTCAAGATGAGAGCTAGAGAGAGAGGAGTTGAATCATACCCTGGGAGGATAGGATACATAGAGAATCCCCATTCGTTCTTGATGCAGTGAAGATCAGAGTGACAGATCCCACAATACAACACCTTGAACTTCACATCTTTCTCACCTGTTGCCCTGCAAACATCGTTTCAAACACCATTTTCATCAATCACCAAAATAAAAAATCAAACACTAATCAGATGATACCCTAGTCCCAATTTGCACGAAAAAACCAAAGAAATGTATATATACACAAACATATATATATATATATAGAGAGAGAGAGAGAGAGAGAATACCTTCTGGAGAATTTGAATGGAGAGAGAACACCAGAGTTGTCTCTAGCCGCCCATCCGAAGGCCTTCACTGGGTGCTCCGTCTCTGGTGATTTCGCCATGAGGAACAATTGTAGCAGTAACTTCACCCAAGCAATGAAAATGTATATATAGAGAGAGAGATTGTGAGAGAGACAAGCCTTCTTCTGTCTTCAGCCTTTTTACCGTCACACCTGGTGGTTGTGGCTCTTGTGAGGTACATAAATATAGTGGTTGGTGGCTGTGAGCTGACGTCATCGATGAGGTAAGAAATTAATTGTGATTTTTCTTCTCTTGTTTGACCAATGTAATATCTAAATATTTGATTTTTTTTGGATGATTCCAGAAACATCAAGATTTCTGTTTCGTCTGTTTTTTTTCTAAATTAATTTATTTTTGGAAGGTGAGAGAACATAAATTAATTCGGTAATACTCTGTATCTGTTTGAAATTTAAATTATTTCTTTCTTGGAGAAAAAAGTCCAAAAATAGGAGACATTATATAATATTTTACACGTGACATTCCCTCCTATAACTCATCAAGTTTTTTACCAACTTACCAGCACTTTTTTTTTTTTTAATACAAAAAAAAAAAAAAAAAAAAAAAAAAAAAACTTGCTGCTAAATATATCATCAAGTAAATTAAAAAAATGACCTTAAAAGCTCCCATTGAATATCATTTCCCATCCAAACAAGATCTCCCAAATTTATACATTGAATACCATTTATGTTCTTTCACCTACCAAAAATAAATTAAATTTAAAAAAAAAAAAAAGAGACGAAAAAGAAATCTTGATGTTTCTGGAATCATCCCACAAAAAATATCACATATTTAAAAATTATATTGGTCAAACAAGAGCAGAAAAATCACAACTTTAGCAAACCAATAACATGAAGACCTTTCAGAAGAAACAAAGGATATACTTGGAATGTTTCCTCTTGCTTTTTCCTCGAGTCCCTCGAGGAAAATTTGTCAAATCCCTGGAGACGAATGCGTACCTAAACTTCTACGTTGTTGTGTTTTTATGGACCGACCACATTGACTATCGACCACCGAACTATCGACCACCGAACTACAACCCCATTTGAAACCACAAACCCTAATTTTTAACTTTTTATTTAATTAAAAATCATCGTTCAACTCTAGAAAAATATTGAGCACCGTTTCAAACTCTGGAAGCACCGTGACTAAAGTTATAGACAATTGATTTATTTTGTAGTCATTAGTGTTGAACAAGAACTTTTAATTGGTAACGAATAGAGATAGAAGAGTTAGAATCTGTCTCCTTCAAAGTGTTTAGCTTAAATCAACGAGTGGGACATATAAATAAGTTATTATATTAATTTTGAACTTTTATAGAGGGACACTTTCACCATTGAGAGACTAATGTTGTAAGGTCATTTGACCATGGTGGGGGCTAGTCAAATGACGGACCCACACCGAAAAATATTTGCAAATGTGTTAGTCTATTCTTGGTTTAGCTAAAACCCTTCTTTAGCAATTTGGGAGTCCAAATTCCAGGCAGCGGGTTAGCTTAATTGGGTGAGGCTTACTTTGACTCGCAGGCCAGCTCGTGAAATACTACGAGACCGAAATGGATTGCTGTATATATATATTTTTTTTGTTTTTTTCTTGAACCAAAAGGAAGGTTTTTTTATTATTTTTTTTTTTTTCAAACGGTCAATAACAATGTTGAACAGTGCCACTGTATAAAAAATAAAAAAAATAAAAATCCTAAAATAGGTTATTTTGAGCTCATTTTTTTAAAAAATAATAATAAAATTCATTAAATAAAACATATATTGTTTAGGCACCGTTTGTCCAAAAAAAATTATTTGGGCCAAAAATAAATTAAAAAACTTTTTTTTCCCCTTAAATTTTTTGTTTTTAAAAAAAAAAATGTAAGGCACTGTTTAACACAAATAGTGTCTTAACGTCTATAATTTAAGAAAAAAAAAAAAAAAGTTTAAAAATTCAAATTTTTTCAACTTTATTAAAAAAAAAAATTAAATTAAATTAAAAATTTTAAAATAACTTATCTTCTACAAATACCACAACTCCTACCATCATTCATCACATCTAACACATCTCTATTATCTACCATTCAACTTATTTCTTCTTCTATTTTCTTAATCTTAGCTATTATTTTCAAACTCATTTTGATTCAATGGATCATTGACATCCATTTTTTTACAACACCTAATTCAACCCATCAAACGATGAGTTTTTTTGCTATTTCCTGAAGACAATATCAATTATTATGGAGGAGAATCTCAATTTCATTCTCATCAACCATCCAAACCTTCTTAGCAACCATCCCAAACTTCTCATCAATATTGTGGTACTAGTGTTCCATAATCAAGTAACTCAAAACTCCCGCAAAAACAACTAGTTATCCAAAATAATAATTGGATCAAGGTTGAAGATGAGGCTTTATGTTGGGCGTGAATGTCCATTACCTCTGATGCGATTACTGGGACAGACCAAAACAACCGGTTATCCGAAATAATAATTAAAAATCATCGTTCAACTTTAGAAAAATGTTGAGCACCGTTTCAAACTCTGAAAGCACTGTGACTAAAGTTATAGACAATTGATTTATTTTGTAGTCATTAGTGTTGAACAAGAACTTTAAGTCTTCGTTTGGATGGAGGGATTTTGGGAGATTTGGAAAGAAAAGAAAGGAAAGGATAGTGATTTGGGTGTTTGGATGAAAAGAATAAGAGAAAAAAGAAATGATTGGGAGGGATAACTATCTCTCCAAATCCCTCATTTGGAATCCCTCTAAAATTGGCAAGATTTGGAGGGATTTGGAGAGAAATGGAAAAAATTACAAAAGGGGCAAGCTTGAGAGTTGAGAGACAGTAGGCCGACTGAAGCTTTGTGAACGGCAACCGAGCTGGAATAGTGGGTGATGGAAACTGATAGATATGGGTTTTGATTTTTTTAACAATCAGAAATGATATGTCGATATGGGTTTTGATTTTTTTAACAAATTGGTTCTCGTAGATTTTATAGTTTGCAGTAGTTGTAGAGAAAGAGAGAGAGAGAGAGAGAGAGAGAGGGGGGGGGGGGGGGATTACATATGGGTTTTGAACTTCTGATTCTTGTATATGGGTTTTGAAAAATAGAATATATTTTTATATATATATATATAGAGAGAGAGAGAGAGAGATGAATACATAGAATAGAAGATATATTTATATATATAGTTTGCAATTGGAGAGAGAGACAGGGGGAGGGAAAGTTCAGATCTGTAAGAACAAGAACAGAGAGAGATGGAGGCAACTGGGGAGGCTGAAATGATTTTGCCCTACTAATACCACCAAAAAGGGTAAGATGGTAATTTCATTATTATCCTTTCCCTTCTTTTCTCTCCTTTGTGTTATCCAAACAATAATATTATCAATTCCTTTTTTTCTCTCCTATTTATCCAAACATGAATATAAATTATAACTATCCTTTCTTTTTTTCTTTTCTTTTCTTTTCTTTTCTCTCAAAATCATTTTCTTTCTTTCCTTTTTTGTGTATCCAAACGAAGCCTAAATGGTACTGAATAGAGATAGAAGAGATAAAATCTCTCTCCTTCAAAGTGTTTAGTTTAAATCAACGAGAGGGACATTTAAATAAAAAAAAGGGTTCGGCTATAATGTCACAATTATAGATTGATATAATTATATATATATAATTATATATATATATATATAATTATATATATAATTTCTTCTTTTTCATAAAAAGTGTTAGTCTTTTTATTTTTGTTATCGTAAAAATAATAGTTCCAATACAAAATTTAATATAATATTTTTTTAATATTTTAAACTTACCCTTCTTATTTTAAAGTTGTAAAAACGATTAAAATTAAAAATAAGACATAATGTGAACTCATATATTTGAAAATTCATTTGTTCGACTCTAGAAAAATGTTGAGCACCGTTTCAAACTTTGAAAGCACTTTGGATAGAGTTATAGACAATTTAAAATCTCTATCCTTCAAAGTGTTTAGTTTAAGAGTAGCCGCAGCGGGCTCACGGAAGCCCAAATTCCGAGAGAGTTAGGCCCTTTGGCCGCGCAGCGGGCTAGCTAAAGCATACGGGGCCCGCTTTCCCTCGCAAGCCGCCTCGCGGTATTCAATGAGTCGGTCAAAAACCTTTTTTTTTCCCCTTAAAATTTGTTTTTATTTTTATTTTTTTGCTTTAAATTTTAAATGTGTACCACAAACAATGCATTTGGCCGTTAAGGCATTATTTGGTTGATAAAAATAGTGCTTTATCGGCTATAGTTTTTTTTTAAAAAGTATAAATTTTTTTTTAACTTAAAAAAAAAATAATTAAAATTACAAATTCATCTACTTATTCCCATAAGATTTTGTAATCCTTATTTTCTTATTTCAATTCATTATTTTTAATCTTAAAAAACCATTAAATAATAAAAATTCTAGTACATGAAATGTCATATCATCTTAAAAGCAAATAAACTGCAATATAAATTAAATATCTTCATCACCATAGCGGTTTCACAAATTTTCCATCAAATCATTCCTCAATTGTGTATTTGTCTCTCTGTTGCGAATCTGAAATTGGCGAGAGAATATGTGTGCCGCTAAAACCGATGGGCATCGACTTAAAGTGGGAATAGAGATTGCATCCTCCGGTGGCGGAGTCCATCTTCCAATATTTGCGTGACGCTCATCTTCAATGATCATATTGTAAAGGATGATGCACGTTTTCATTATGAGGCGCAAGTCATCTTTCTCCCAATAACACACTGGTCCTTGCGTTGTTGCCCACTTGATATGCAATACCCTAAAAGCCTGTTCCACATCTTTCCTACATGCCTCTAGTCGCTGAGCAAACCATTTTTCTTTTCCAGTGGTTGGGTGCATGATGGTCTGCATCAGAGTTGCTTACTTAGGGTATATACCATCAGACAGGTAATACCCTATTCTATAGTGATGTTCATTTACTACATAATTAACTGGAGGTAATTGGCCATTGACGATACCGTTGAATAGTGGGGAATGATCCAACACATTTATATCATTGTGTGAACCTGACATTCTAAAGAATGTATGTCAGATCCACAAATCTTATGAGGCAATTGCTTCCAATATGAGAGTATTTGTGACGGCCTAAGTTTTATAAATCCGGTGCGTCAGTGATGACCAAAAGATAACCCGTTAATGG